AAAAATGGAACACAGAAGCCTGGGAGGAGATGCAATTTTAAGATGTTTTAATTATTTAAGTTAAGTACTTAGGAAAGGCCTTGCTGAGAAAGTGGCATTTGGGCAAAGCAGAAGGCACAGCCTATGCGAAGGTCCTGAGGCACTTGTCCGGAGTGTCGCTGGCTCGGCAGAGAGACCGTGTCGCTGGGGCCGACTGAGCAGGAGAGAGCACAGGGGACCAGGTGTAGAAGTTGGAGGGCAGATGCAGTCCCCTGGTCAATTTGGTTGTTGCTCTGAATGAGATGTGGGAGCCAGGGAGGGTTTTGAGCTCGGGTGGGATAGAACACCACGTAGGTGTTAACAGACCCCCTCGCTGCTATGGGATAACATTGGGGAGGGCCAGGTAGGAGCAGGGAGAGCAGGATGGGATGGTTCATTCCAGAAGCAGGGCGCTTGGCCCAGAGGAGGTGGTGAGAGATGGGCAGCTTTGGAACATAGGGCCAACAGGGTTTGGTGACAGATAGGATGTGGAAATAGGAGGAGGGGAGGAGGCAAGGATGATTCCAAGGCTGTGGCCTCGGCACCGGGAAGAATGGTGGTGACGTTGCGGAGCCGAGGACTACGGGAGGGAAGGAAGGGTTAGGAGCAGATCAGTGTCCCAGAGCACACTGCTTTGGGATCGTATAGATCAAGATGATCCCCAGCCGTCCCTGCCAAGACCCAGACTCTGTCCAGAGCTCAGTTCAAGCACCTTGCAAGCCACAGAGAACACAGCTCAATGAGTGTGCAAAACTCCTGCTGGAGAAAGATACGTGAAAAAACAGGCTGCCAGAGAAAAGCGAAGGCTGAGACCTGAGCCCAGAAGCCTCCCGCTCGAGGAAGACGGCCCCAGCCCTCTCCCCCCAACTGAGAATCCACGACCCACGCTCAAGTTCCCCTCAATTCATCAGCTCCCCGTCCTGGGATTCAACCACAAAACCACAAAGGAGGCACCTCTAATCTGTGGCTTCTAATGAAAGCCCAGCTCCCCGGGGAAGGATCTCAATGAATAGAGATGGGAACAAAAAGCACAAAACCCCTCAACAGCCCAAAGTGTCTGGAAACCTGACAGTCTCCTCTCAGTCCCCATGGCGGCTGTCCTGATGGCGTCTCTCACTTCACCCAGTGCTGCGCCCCGGAGGTGACTGTCAAGCCTCTTTAGCAGCCCCCGAAGACAAGCATACTCAATGGCTCTGATTACCCTCTGCCCCTGGCAATGGGAGACACAGTTTCTGGATGGTTTTTAATGAAACAAGAGGGCCTGGTGCCAGGGGAAGTGAGAACCACAGCCACTGTCAACTGTCAGCTTTTCCTGACAGTGATCAGAATGAATGACAGTGGCAGATGTGGCCCCACGGACCCAGTAACAGGGGACCAAGAAGTCTAGAGAAGACCTGGGCATATTTATTGCCAGGGATCCCAGGATGGGACTGACCAGGAGGCCTGTGGGCGCAGCAAATCCCAGTGACAAAGACAGATGGTCCACCTGGGAATGGGAGGATGACAAGTGACAGAGCAAAGCCTGAATTTGGGGCCGAAAGTGGCTGGACTTGCATTTGGGTAGCGGATACCTTTTGTTTCTGGCTGCCCAGCATCTGTCTCCACTTCTCGCTGCAGAAAGTGGGTTTTCACTTGGAGAACTGTATTCATCATATTGTATTACGTATTTTCAATGCTTTGATATCTGGGGCCCCTGCTGACTCTGGAGGGGCTGTCCCTCCCTGAATTAGCTAATTCCTGGAGAGAGTAAACAACAGACCCTGGAGGACACTTTTCATCTGCAAACCAACCAATCCAGAGCCCACAGCCCCAGCCTCCTCCTTCTCTGGCTCTCAAAAACTAGACCCCTATCCACCTGCCCTAAGCACTCAGGGCCAGGTACCAGGCAATTAAGGTCAGCCCCCAGCCCCCTCCCCGCCCCACCCCAGAGCCTCTGCGATCATTTAAACCAGCCAATCCTAAACCTGCTTTCCCTGCCTCCCAGCATAACACCATCTTTTCAGTAGCAGTCACCTCCTCATACCCTGGCCTCACCATTCCTGAATAATAATAAAACCTGCCTTTTAAAACCAGAACCACCTGTCCCTCACTTACAGAGTCCGTGGGATAGGATGGAGTTGTATCCAGTGTGGGCATGTGACCCGACCTGGCCAGAGTGCCCCATCCCTGCTCACCACAGTTAACTACACAATGACTCCACTTTTGAATAATAAAGCCTTTATTGTGTTCTCTGGGACAAATAAATGTCCAAAGAGTCCTTGTAACTAGAAGGGAAAGCAAATTGAAGTCCAAAGGAATTAAAGGCTGAGCTCAAATCCACTTGCCCTTGTGAGTTGTAAGATTAAAGCAGTTGGGGTCTGTTTTATCATGGGAGCATGTATAATCTCATTACCGAACCCCTGATGGGCCATGTTGGATAACAAATCTGGCCCTAGTCGGAGACTGGAAAAGAAATAGGCAAGTTACTTTCAGTGAGGAGCACTGGGTAGGTTTTCTGTTGATTTAAAGAATGTGTTTTACCCAGGCCTGCTGAGCCTGTCAGTCTAGAAAGATCCACAAGGAGCCCTGGCTGATATTGGGGTTCAAGAAGGCAGGCCCAGGACTGGCCTGAAGGACTGCTGTTCCCCCGTGGGGACGGCCCACTCCCGTCGCCCACGGGCCTAACAGTTCTACTTTAGGGGCAAGGAGACCAAAGCTGGGAGGACGTGGGAGGAGGACATCTGTTTCTCACGCTTCCTGTTCCTCTGGTCAGTGCTTCTCAACCTTGGCGGCAGGTGGGAGTCACCTGGCGTCCCAGGGTTGCCAGATTTAGCAACTAAAAATGCAAGGCTCCCGCTAACTTGGCTTTTCAGATAAATAACGTTGTAATATAAGCATGCCCCATGCAATTGCTGGGGCACACTTGCGCTGAAATATGGACTTCTTTTTCTGAAATACAAAGTTAACTGGGCACTTTTGTAGTTTATCTGAAAACCCTGGGAGGGAGGGGCTTGGGGAGGGGAACAAAACAAATGCTAGGCCCCTGAAATCCTGGCTTCATTGGGGCTGGATCGCCGCCAGGGGACAGGGCTTTTCAAAGCCCCCCAGGCGACTTCCTGTGCAGCCGCAGGAGCGACTTCTGAGCTGGAGGGGCGGGGCTGGTCCTCTGACCGTCATCGCCCTCGCGCGCCTGTCCAGGGAGGATGGCAGACTTGCCCAATGGAGAGCTGGGGACAGGGAACTGGGGTACAAACTACGGCCCCTCCCTCTCTCTGAGATTGGTGGGGCCCACACTGATGGCAGGATGGGCACTGCAGGCTGGGGTGGAAAGTGCATGGGGATGGGGACAGTTTATTAGCAAGGTTGGCCTCATGCACCCAAGCAGACCCCAAGTCACTTCCTTAGTTATAAAGGTGGAATTTCCACCTCTGTCTACCCAAATCCCGGGTCTCTTTCTCACTTGGGTTTGAACTTCCTCAGAGAACAAAAGGATGTTAAGAATTGACCCCCTACGGCCCCAACATCTGTCACCTCCCCTCCTCCTCCTCCATGGCTTGGCTTGTTCCTGTTCACTCTTCAGGGCTCAGCTCAAAGGGCCTTTCCTCTAAGCCTTCCCCAGACCAAGGCAGATCCCCTGGCGTATGTTCTCATAAAACCCCAATTTTTTTTTCTGGCCTGTATCAAAACTGAAGCAGGATTTTGCAACCTCAACACAACTGAAATTTGGAGTCAGATAAATCTTTGTTGTGAGTCGGTCCTGTGCACTGGAGGATGTTCGGCATGACCCCTGGTCTCTACCCACTAGATGCCAGTGACCCGCTCCCCTGCCCATCCCCAGCTGTGGCAACCAGTCTCCAGACATGGCCAAATACCCCACACACTGCATTGTATTCAGGGCCAGCGCAGTCACCCCTGCATGGTATGCAAATTATCTGGCTGATTCTGGTCAAATATTGATGTGAAAAGAAAACAATGTACACACTGCAACTTTTTGGTGCGCAGGCAGACGCTCCAACCATGCCGCCCAGCCAGGGCACGTATCTTGTTATCTTAATGCTTCTTTCCCACTACGACATGGGCTTTGGGAGCAAAGAGTGCCTACCCTGCTCACCGCTGCACCCCCGGTGATGACAGAGGAAGTACTGGCAAAAAAAATTTGAAGACAACAGGAAGCAAGGGAGAGGCTGGAGGCCTGCAGCGACCCAGGCTGAGAACAGAAGGGAAGTATAACCCTGCCGACCTGTATAAGCCGCTAATTTCAAAAGCCTTCCTTCCTTGAGGCTGCTGAACATTCTTCCCAATGCCTCCTCTGTCTCGAGAGGCAAGTGGACCCTGTGTGGTCCGTCTTTCACATGGCCCTCCATATGCCGTGTCATCTGGACTGAGTCTTAATCCCCAGATGTAAGAGGAGAAGGCCCCCAGGGGAGAGTTTAAACACTGAATTTCTGAGCTCTGTCCGTTCAAAGTAGGCCTTCGCTTTGCATTAATTCTGGCCAATTTAGCTTATGCACCCATCCAAAAATCTGAGTGCACCAGGTTGCAATTCTTAGAGCCAGATGAGCTGACAGCAGGCTCTAGCCTGGCAAGTATAAGCACTAGGAAAAGGTTGTTCATGGTAAATGTACTTACAATGGGGACACAGTCCTGGCCACCGTGGCTCAGTTTGTTGGACATCCTCCTGCAAAGCGAACAGTTGCCAGTTTGATTCCCAGTCAACGCAAATGCCTGGGTTGGGGGCACACACGAGAAAAGTACAAAAGGAAACCAATCGATGTTTCTCTCCCTTTCTCCCTCCCTTCCCCTCTCTAAAAATAAACACTTTTAAAATAATAATAAAAAATAAAACTTCAGAATGACTAGTGGAGGGGACAAAAGTTTGATTTTTGTTGCAAACTGGTAAGTAAATCTGACATACAGGGGTTCTTGTCTGGCCCACGATGCTTTTTAACTTTCTTTAAACATTTGTAGCCAGAGATACAAAGATTTCACATTTACATCCGTGGTTTCTGGTGGTAGGTAAGCCTGCGTGCAAAAGGCAGCTGGAGAGGAGAGGTGCCCTGTGACAAGGCTTTTCCTCCCCAATTTACCACTGCCACATACTCACATACCAAGCTTTTAATTTTGTTGTAGACATCGGAAATTGGGCAGAGTACCTGCCATTTCATGGAAATGTTTGTAACAGATTGAACAGGGAAGGACAGGAGGAGGGCAGAGGGTTGGAACTTGGACTTGAAGATTCCAAAGCAAGCCAAACTGTAATACAGTTTAGAAAATGTTCCGAGCACAACATAAGATGGACCCTGAAGCCAACTTTAAGGAAAAAAAAAATCAGGAGTTTGTAACAGAAACTGACATACTATGAAAGTGTCTTATCTTGCTAACCTGTAAATATTTCATTTTGACATGAATTCAAAATATTTAATATATAGAATTACCACTTTCCAGATAATTAAAACAATGTACATCTTTAACACTTATTTTTGTAATACATATTCTGTCATTTGAAGTAGAAATAAGACCCAAAGGATATCTTTAGTAAACGATAAACTGATCTTAAGCATATCATCTATGATCAATTCAGTAAGATATTTAAGTTTACAACAACTTAATTCCAGGCATAAAATAAACCATTTAGAGAGTTTTTTGATTGGAGGTGGAATAAAAGCAAGACAGGCAAATGATCCGCAGATTAAAGCACAAAATCCTGTCCATTACAGTATAGGCCACGTGTTCAAGACAGCCTTCAAGTGCTGAAAACACAAGGCAGTTGTCAGAGACAGAATTATAATCCATTAACAATTATACCATCCAATAAATTGCCATTATCTTTAAGATAACACGACAATGCACATCTTTCTCAGGTCAGGCCATGTCTATCAGCCACCTCAGTACTGCGGAAATGTCCCATCAATTTTGGCAGCCCAGGCCATGAGCCCCCCCACAACATCCTGAACCGTTACAGAGCCTAACTCTTGGATTGCCGTCAAGGACTGCAGGATCTTCACGGCTTTCTGGGATTCGTTGCCCAGTTTGCAAATGACGTAAATGGGGACAGCTGCTCCTTCCTGTGTGCCTTGCTTCCCTTTCAGGATTGCTTCTCCTAAGAGTCTCAGGCTCTCCGCATCCCTCCGTTCCAAATGTTTCAAAGGGATGTGTAGGGCATGAGGCAAACGACAGATGTCCACCTCCACCTGAGGCCTGACGTCCAGCAGCACGTGGGGAGACCCAGAATCCAGAACTCGCTTATAGTCAGAGACAGAAACTCGCTCCTCCGGGCTCAGCAACTGCAGGGAGCGGCACTTATCGGTGGCCGAGGAGCCACAGAAGGCTTCGTAGTCCTGCAGGTCGGTCACAGTGGGCCGCTCCCCGCAAGCTGCACAGTCGGGCCTGCGGCTCCGAAGCTGAATACAGCGGAAACGCCCCCGGAGAGCATCAAAGAGCATCAGTCTGCCGCTGTAAGAGGGGCCCAGACCTGCGGCGATCTTCAACACCTCCAGCGCCTGCAGGCAGCCCAGGACCCCGGTGACGACACCGAGCACCCCGCCATCCGCGCAATTGGTCACCGTGTCCGCTGGAGGTGGCTGGGGAAACACGCAGCGATAGCAAGGCCCGCCGTCGTAGTGGTAGACTGTGATTTGGCCCTCGAAGCGCAGGGCGCTGGCAGATACGAGAGGCCGGCCCGCCAGCACACAGGCGTCGTTCACCAGGTACCGAGTGGGCGCGTTGTCGGAGCAGTCCGCCACCACGTCATAACGACGAACTAGGTCTAGAGCAGTGGCTGGCGTCAGAGCCTGGGCGTAAGGCACGCACTCCACCTTCGAATTGAGACTGCGCAGCGAGGCGGCAGCCGAGAAGACCTTGGCCTGGCCGGCCAGCGCCTCGCCGTGCAGCACCTGGCGGGGCAGGTTGCTCATTTCTACTACGTCGTAGTCCACAAGGCCAAGGCGGCCTACGCCGGCCGCTGCCAGGTACTGCGCCAGCGGGCAGCCGAGCCCCCCGCAGCCCACGACCAGCACGGATGCGGTGGTCAAGCGCAGCTGCCCCTGCACGCCGAGCTCCGGCAGCACGAGCTGCCGGCTGTAGCGCAGGATCTCCTCACGGGTCAGGGCGGTCTTCGGCGGCAGGGGCGACACCGGAACCGGCTGCTCTGGCTCTTCCTCCGCCAAGAGAGCCGCCGCCAGTCTCTGCTTCAGGGAACTCAGTTCCTTCTCACGCCGGGCAACTTCAGCCTGCAAGGCAAGGACCTCCGCCTTGGCGGCCATGGCGTCCTCTCTCCCAAGAGCTCTGGAAAGGCACTTCCGTTTCCGGTTTACCGTCTCCTAGCGACTGCAGTAAACTAAAAAATTGTGTGGAGCTTTAGGAAAGGTGATAAATAGATATATATTTCCCGAAACAGCATTCAGGTTGAACTTTGAAGATTCATAAGCTCTGAATATTTCCAATGGAACTATACAGAGGGACTTGGGAGGACGAGCATTCAACCACACAGGCAGGCTCCCTGACCCTGAACTTGGCACCGTCCGACTCGTCACGTCATTCCGCTTCCGACGTCTCGCGCAGTTCCGCCATGGCCACCAAGGAAGCGAGTCGTACTCCTCCGAAGTCTCGTCGGGGGCTAGAGGGACGCGACCCACAACAGGACAAGTATTCGGTGCTACTGCCCACCTACAACGAGCGCGAGAACCTACCGCTCATCGTGTGGCTGCTCGTGAAAAGCTTCTCGGAGAGGTAGCATGCCCGGCCGCCGTGCCCGAGGAAGGAGATGAGCTGGCTGCCCCGGCCTGGCTGCCGGCAGTTGGCTGCGCGAGGCGGCCCTGCCCGGCCCCTCTGCGATTGCCGGGGGGAGTCTCGGGGAGGAGGCTACCCTGCGAGAGACGCCGAGGCGGACACTTAAGGGGTTCCCTCCGCGTCTCGGTTCTCCTGCCTGTCCTTGGGCTTTGTGAGACAATCCTTTTATCTTTACACTCCCCGCCCCCCCCTCGCCATCCGTCGCCAACTTTTCCCCAAAAGGGCTGGTCCCTCTGGTCCTTGGGGCGAGGCTGTAAGCCTGACCTCACTCCGCCGTTTAGGTGGTCGGGACCTGCGGCAGGATCCGGGAGTCTGAGCGAGCACACGCGCTCTCGCCCCGGTGCCCAGTGCTTATGTAAGCATGAGGTTGGGTGTCTGCTGCTGGGCTGGACAATCATTCTGGAAAGAGCAGAAGGGCAGCTTCGCTCATCAATGGTGGATGTTCGTTGTAGTCGTTAGAACCTGGGCTTGGAGCTTGAATTTGAAAACGTTGATACAGTTTTCTTAAAAAAAGAACTTGGGTAAATCCTGGTGTCTGTGGAAAGTAACCGTTTTTATGGTTACACTAATGATGGGACTATATTGTAGAAACCCATATCAGCACCTACAAACTTAGCAAATTATTTTGAAAACTAAGTAATAGTCCATATGGCTGTTATATTTTATCTAACCGGGTCATATCAACGAACAGATTATTTTCAAAGATTTTTTTTTTACTTCACAAATGAGAATGGGGACTTTGTTCACGCCACAGTCTCTAGCATTTTGAAAAGCGCTTGATACATAGTGAGTGCTCCTCTATTAGGTGATTGTTACAACAAACACTCATACTTTTGCTGGTACATCGGGATAAAGCCTTCGCGGCGGGATTGCTGGAAAGACAGACGTGTGCTAAAATTTGATAGTTACTGCCAAACTGTTCTCAAAAAATGATTGTACCGGCTTAGGACTGCCCAGCATTCGTCAGAGAGTGCCTGTCCCCCCACAGCCAGGCAACCTGAGTGTTAGTAAACTAATATCGTTGGAAATGCTGGTTGCTGAAAAACACTGCTGGGTTGTCTTTTTTCAGCTGCACCATTTTATTATTTTATTTTTCATGTACAGTCTACATTCAGTATTATTTTGTATTAAATACTTTCTGGCAAGTTTGCTGGGTCTGACTTTCTTAAGCCTTTATCAGTGGTTAAGCAATCATAAGCATTGCTGTTTTGATTTATTTATTTTTTTGAATGAGATAACTGTCTTCACACACAAAGTTCTTCACATTTTTTAGTCATCTCTTTTTACGTTACCTTTTTATTTTGATTTCTACAAGCTCTTTCTAATTTAGAGAAATTATCATGTAGCTGATCTTGTTCCCATGTCTTCTGATTATACAGTATTTTTGCTTTATTTTAACTTATTTTGTGTAGTGCATTTTTTCTTTTAATAGTCTGAGTGGATTTTTAAAATAAAAATGAAGTTTAATGCAGGAAACAACTATTTTCTTGTCAGATGCAGTCGGATTGCCTTATTAATTTCTGATCAGTTTGATTCCTTTAAGCTACCTCACCCTCAGGTGGTATGGGTGCTTTGAAGTGGAAGAGAAAAATGATTTTACTTACGAAGTATAGCTCTTTGAGCACATCAAGTAGAATCAACATCTTACATGTTTTGGCCTATGAAGCACATACCCACATTTAAAGTACAGGTGAGAAGCTGAAGCCGTCCTATCTTCTGGTGGAGGATAGGCTGAGTTTTGCTTTCTGGCAAGTTTGCTGGGGCTGACTTTCTTAAGCCTTTAACAGCAGAGCATGTTTTCTGGTTGATTTTTTGCATGTTTCCTGAAGTAGGACCAAGAAGAAACAGAATGTTGTGTGTGAGAGTTTGGCTGTGCCTCATTTTCTTTCCCTTTATGTTCCCCAATAAAGTTAACAGAAAGAATGGTTTTTAAAGCGGGTAGGGGCAGACATGGTAGTGATCTTATGGATTGTTATTAAGCATTGGCTTGTTTGTAGAATAGAAACTATCTGGTAAAGACAATGGAGAGCAGCAGAGAGGTGTTAATTTTGAAGCATGTTGAAATCTTATATAATTCTGTGCTGTTTTTATTTGATAGGGTGGGATAATGGGTAAACTCTTTGAAATAGTGGTGTAAAAGATTGTGTTACTATTCTAATGGGGATTTTTTAAGGGTGAAATTAACTTGGATTTATTCCTGATCATGATCTTTAAATCATTTGGGAATTAAAAAGAATAGTCCCTCAGAGCTACTCAGTCATTTTGAGTTGTCTTTTAAATATACTTTTGAAATAGTGTAACTAAGATTAATATTAAGGTTCCACGGTTCTATTTCCAAAGTAAGCAAAACTTCATATCTTATCATATTACATATGTAAATCACCGTGTGTGTTTTTTTTAACTGAAGAGTGTGGTTTCTGTGTCAGAATTTTTTAACATCTTAGGACTTTATAGTAGCATTTCCAGCAACATGCTGAGTTTGGAGGTAAAGTATTGAATATTTGACGTTTCATTTGGTAATTGAAGTTTTCCTTTGTAATTAATGTGGAAATAAATTTCCACTACTGTTTAATAATTAGTAGTTTTAAAATTAGTTTTTTTAATTTCATAGTACTGAACTCAAACAATACCAATTTCTCTTTTTTATCATTTTAGTGAAATCAACTATGAAATTATAATCATAGACGATGGAAGCCCAGATGGAACAAGGGTCGTTGCTGAACAGCTGGAGAAGATCTATGGTTCGGACAAAATTGTAGGTCATGTGACTGTTTTTCTGTCTTTCCCGTTGTGTTTTTGTAGGGGATAAATGAGAGAGGAACAGCGCTTAACTCCACCTGTTTGTCTTGAAACTGGAAAGACAAAGAGCAACTTAGACACTTGGGATTTAGATGCATTTTCATTGTGCTTGAGGTTTTACATCTTTTGATATGTTGGATCAGTAGTTTTCTAGCAAAACAATCTTTGGATGAACTGTTTTTATGATTCTGCAGATACATTTTCTTGAGCGACAAAATTAAAGCATGATATTGAATTGACAAGGAATAGGATAGAACTAGGTTGCAGTTAGTGAGGTGGGCCTTGATCTTTCTTGCTCCCTTTCTCTAGGTGGTCTCGTCCTCTCAGTGGTCAGTGCTGCCTGTCGGTGGAAGCTTGTAACTGAGGAAGGCGGCTGTTTGCATGGGGACTAGGAATGGCTTTGTAGAGTACTTGGCATTTTTATTTTTACTCATAGAATAGTCTTTTGGGAATAGGTTGACTTTCTGAATCTTAAACTTTAGATTTTATTTTATTTTTTTTTAAGATTTTATTTATTTATGAGGGTAAAGGAAGGAGAAAGAGAGGGAGAGAAACATCAAAGTGGGGTTCCATTTCACACACCCCCTGCTGGGGACCTGGCCTGCAACCCAGGTATGTGCCCTCTATTGGGAATCGAACCGGCAGCCTTTTGGTTCACAGGCCAGTGCTCAATCCACTGAGCCACACCAGCTAGGGCATAAACTTTAGATTTTTCCACTGTACCTTGAAGCATGTTCTTCTTTGGGATTAAGTTAGGCAGATGTAATCTTCTTTTTATAATGGCTTCACATATATGCACACACACACATATATATATGTGAATACATATGTATACATGGTCTCATATACATGTGGCTTCATATATATATGAATACGTATGTGTATGTGTCTTTTTAGTCACTGATTTGGATTTTTAAATGTTTGAGAATACTAGTGAGCTTGACTTTGGATAATCCTGGGGCCAAAGCATACAATTAAGTCCATATTTAATTAGAAAATGCATTCTAAGATGCGGGGGGTGGAGGAGAGCAAAGCAGGAAAAATTGAGACAACTGTAATAGAATAAACATGATTTTTTAAAAAATCCAATAAAATAGTGCTTTTAAAACTAAAAAAAAAAAAAGAAAAAAGAAAGAAAGAAAGAACACATTCTAGGCATTGGGTATTGTAACTTACAGACCAGAGTTTCTCAGTCTTGGCACCCTTGACATTAGGCCTCAGCCATTCTTGGCTCTGAGAGGCTGCTCTGTATGTTGTGGGATGTTTAGCATTGGACCTGGCCTCTAGCCACTAGGTGCCAGAACTACCCTCCTTCCTGGTGTGGCAACCAAAAATGTCTCAGGATTTTGTCAGATGTCTCCTTATGGGCAAAATTGCCCCCTCCTCCCAATAAAGAACTATTGGCCTCGACATAAAGAAGTCTCTTGGAGAACCTTTATTGATATTTGCATTTCAAGAAATGGCACTTAGCATCATAAAAAAATAGTCACTGGGTCCAAATATTCTTGATTAATCTAAATCAATTTCTATTTCGTGGGAGGAGATCTTGGTTGGTGGGAAGAGTTAAGGGTCATATGAGAGTTACTCTTTATATTTGCGGTAACCCTACCCTGCAGTAGAGACCCTTTCCGTCTGTGTCACAGAGCAGCAGCTCACGGGTCAGTCACTCCTCCAGTCCTCTCTACTGTCTCCTGCTGCATAGGCGTACGGAGGGAGATGAAAAGTTGGCGGATTTTCCGCCTTCTAGTGGTGACTTCCAGTGATGCTCGGTTTGTAGGTTTGACCAACAGGTCCCCAGTTCCTCCTTTATAACTTCTGGGCCATGGCCAGGGATGTGCATTTATTATCTATAGAATCCTCTGAAGCTATGTGCTACCATTTCATCTGGGAGCATCAACCTGACGCTATTTTGAATATCTATGTCATTGAAGCTTAGCTTTGAGGTGTAATTGATTAATTGATTTTAGGGATTGCCTACCAAATTGACCTTCACAAATTCTAAAACGACGTTGGTCCTTAAAGAGTTTCATTTTTCCCACCAACCCAATAAAATTCAAATGAATAAGAAAGACATTAGCATTTACTATGGTGATTTCCCTATAGTACCAGGGAAATTCCCTGTTTATTCATTATTTTATGATCTTTGAATCATCTAAGCTAGAAGCATTTTTTTTCCAGTGTTAGGCCTTGCTAGGGCTGGCACTTAATTGCTTTTAACTGACATGTATGTTTAGTTGAGGGGAAAGGTGGATAAAAATGATTATTTTTCTCAGATAAAGTGGTTCGGCCCAGAAGGCTTTGTGAGCTAGCCTGTCAAACTAGTTCAAATGAATGTCTCAGGAAAAAAGCAAGGAAGATTAAAAACAAACAAACAACAACAAACAAAATAAAACTCTATAGTAAGGAAACAGACAAGAGGGTTAATTCACTTCCCAAGATTGCACAGCTGACTAATAAATGGCAGGCGTGGGACTACAGGAAATCAGGAATGTATGTTCTGAACTGTTACCAGTGGTTACAGCAGCGGTTCCCAGTGAGACTGTGGAGGGCTCCGACCTGTCCACGTTGAATGCTTCTGTCGCGGTGGGGGTCGTTTCACTCCCTAACCCGAAATCGCAGTCAGCCCAGCAGTGTTGTGCAAACTATTCTCTGCTAATATAACTCAGGTACTAACGATTGAAAACACAAAGGGACAAAGAATGCAGTAGCACCAGGGGCCTTTGGGTTGTCACCCTGGCCATTGCTAACAAAAGTAAGGCACAGAGATCATCACTGCTTAGAAGACCTGTGAGGTTAGTCAAAGGCCAGAGCAAGAAAGAACAAAAAGACGGAAATGGTTTTTGTTCACATCTGCATCTGCATAGTAAGATGTGTTCGTTATTTTTAAAATGTAAAACATAACTATAGGAGTGAGAGGTCTAATTTATTATAATAAAATATTTTGTTCATCCCCCAAAACCAAATTTTCTCTGAGAAAAAGATCAGTATCCCAATCAAGTGTACAAAAACAGACGATTTCATAAAACAAGAACCACACATGGCCGAAAGGGGTGGGCGGGGCGGTGCTCGATGATAAGTAGAGAATTGCAGAGCAGGAGGAGGGTACGAGGAGGCTTAGGGCAGGGCCCCGGTGCCCGGCAGGGGAGAACACTGGGAAAACTAGGACCTCGCCCCCAGGGGAACCTCTTCTCCTGGCCTTCCCTCCCTGGAGAGAGCATGGAGGCCTCCGTCCTTTCAGCTCCAGGCCCAGAAAAGCAGCAAAACTAGGAGGGCCGGGCCAGCACCAACTGCAGAGACTACAGACCCCCCTACCCTGTTGCTGACCGATCAGTGGAGACCATAACCCTGGAAAGGCACACCTGGAGAACTGATGAATATTCAGCTGAGACCCCCCTCGCCCCCCCATTCCCCTTCTGCAAGAGAGAGATAAAGGCCTCAAGACAAAGGTCCCAGGGCGAGCCTTCTCCCTCTGGGGAGCAACCTGGCCATTTTCTTTTCCTTCTCCTTCCCCCACAGGCAGGCGTCTCCTAAACTGAAAGGCAGTGGGCGGCTGGCAGTATCCCGGGAACCTGTCCCCAAAGCCCCAGCGAGCCAAGGCAGCTGGCCTAGGCTCTCCTGTGGCTTCTTATGCGCGAAGCCCGCCCTTGTTTTCACTCTCCCCAGCTCTGATGAACGCGTCCTCACAGTCACCCGCACTCCCGTTGTGGAATCTTTTCTACACAGAGTCAAGAACCCACAGGCCACAGCTGGCCCTGGGCAACCCGCTCAGGCCAGGGCCCCATCCAGTGACAATCACCGCCTGTTCTCATGGCAGCTGGGCGAGGGGAGGCGAGCTCTGGCGTGTGCCCTGTGCTGCCTAGGTCGCACGGGGCAGGTTCGCAGGCGGCTCCAGAACAAGGCAGCCGGACAAGGAGAGGGGCTAAGGGGCTGACGGCTAAGCCCACGAAATGAAACAATTTGAACTTGTCATCTAAGAAATAAGCAAGTACCTCCTTGGTGTAAAATGTAAATGTTACCCATAAAACTGAAGTTGCCGTTGAGCAGCATTTCCTTACGTGCGCCCCAGTGTCCTCCCCAGGGTAAGAACTGGTCTGCCGATTGCTGTGCATCGATGTGTGTATGTCCACATCTTAGAACCAGGTATCCTGCTGGTGTTTTTGTTTTTAAATGTATATGTAGCCTTTCTGTATCATTGTTGCTTTCTAATATCTTGGAGATTTTTTTGATCACCAAATGACCTCATTCTTTTAACTGCTCCATAGTGCTCTATCAAATGCAGCATGGTTTATAGTTTGTAAACTTTTGAACATTCTGAAACTTATAAATAATAAAATTATTTTTTTATTTGAAACACAGATTTTCTTCCAGCTGAAACATGGAGTTATAGAAAATCTAAGGTGAACTTGAAAAGATTGGCTTTTTTAGGGCAGAGGTCAGATGGGTTCAGTATTTTGTCAGTAACTGTCGCAAAATCAAATAAAATCTGACATACCTTGTTTGATTTTGTTCAATGAATTATAATCATAGATGATCGACTGTCCTGTTCTTGGGCAGGAATATATTTTATCTATCTTTGTTTCCCCTCCCCCCCCCCCAAGACCTAGAGCAGCGTGCACGTAGTAAAAAAATTAACCTATCCTGGGTGATTGGAGCTGAGAAGACTTTGTTTAGAGATTTGAAGTCTGAGGCAACCTGCTTATACACTGGGAAGTGCAGAAGGGAACAGGACACGCTCACGCAGTGAGTCTGCCTGAGCCCAGTATCTCAGAAACTCACAACAGAGTCAGAAACTTGGCATTCTACTTTTTCAAAAGTTTTCAGATAAAAAGGAAAGCAACTAAGTTAGGGTTTATATATAAAGCAAAAAATGTAGAAAGACCACCAAGTAAGTGACAAAACTGTAAGAAAAAAAAACCTATAACCTCATCATTGGGCCAGCAGAGAATGAGATGAGATCATCCAAGTGTGAAGTCAAGATAAGTTGTTGGAGGAAGAGTGGTATTAACATTTAAAATCACAAAAGGAATTGAAAAAACAAATCAGGCTACCAAATATTCCAAAAATACGTAGAATAAATGAGACCTGCAGTTTTCCTCAGGAGGCATTAATAAATGTTTAAAGTGATAAATCAAGTGATACGTAAAAACATTGTTTACAAAGTTTTCTGGTTAGCACCCAAAAAAATTTGTGTGTAAATTTGGCTATTATTATGAGGTTGGGGTGAAAAAAATGTTGCTTTCCCTTAAAAGCTGTTAAACTATTTATTACTCAATGCTTTTTTTCCCACTTTGGCAAAAAAAAAAAAAAAAAAAAAAAAAAAAGGGAAGCGTACTCTGCTCTAAGGTCTAAGAAATGGTGCTATATTTCTGTTAAAATGAGCAGCAGTTACATGAAAAAAATAACTCTTAATAGTCAGATCTTTATTATTTGTGTCAAAGTGTTGTTTCTCATTCTTACAGCTTCTAAGGCCACGGGAAAAAAAGTTGGGACTAGGTAAGTAGAACATCTCGTCCCTCACGCTGCTTCTTTCCTTGGTGAGATTGTGAGTGTTTTCCTAGTTGGAACAGGGCGGAAATAACAACCAACTCCTGTGATGGTTTTTGATCATCTTAATGACATTTCGGCAGCCTGCGTTGCCGTATCAGTGAAGGCCTGCTTGGGGAGGGAGAAACTACTGTAGCTCTTTCAGTACAGGGAATTCAGTACAGAGAATCCGGTTACTCAGGTGAAAGGATTGCCGAGAAGCCAAACGGAACAGTGAGGCTCCTCAGAGATTACGCGCAACAATAGGAGATGTTGGTTTTAGAATCTCGGAACCAACCCAGGGTGCCCAGAGGGAGCCGGAATGGATGGCGTTGGGATACCTGGCAGGAGCAGGAGCCATTGAGGATATGCAGTCAGCCCTAGGAGGCAGAGTAAGAGAGGGAGGCCACGTAGATGGTCCCCTCCTCCCTCCTCTGCCTCCCGTAGCTATTTGGAAGCCAGTTGACAAGAGAACCTGGGAGATAAATGCCCTGCAATATTGGGAACTGCCAGAGAAGGGATCTGAGGGACTTCTTGGACCAGCCCACAGCCTTTGAGCATTATTTAAGTTGTAAGTCTTAAAACGGTACTCTTTCTATTTTAAAAGGAAAGCTTTCCCAGCTTTTAATCATAAAGAAGATCTCAAACGAGCTCAGTCATTCTGAGATGAAGATCTAAATGCCTTTCTGTTGTTAGTCACAGTTACTTAGGTTGAGAATCAGTATAGTTTTCCAATAACTGGCATCATCAAATGTTCTGAATATCAGTCCAGAGGTTGTTTGGGATTCAAGTAATCTGGACATGGCCATGAAACTGACCAAGAATTACTGATAAGTCAGTGATATATCCAGAAAGCTGTAATGGTCACTTCTGAACAAAGTAAGGTAGAAGAGGTCAGTCTTGCTAAGAGGACGCTGAGGGGTTGGGGTCAGAGAATGCAGAAATAAGGAATTGATAGCTGTGCCTTTGGCCCCAATACCAGAGCAGGGCTCCAGGGCACCGGGCTCCCCACAGTGTAGAAGACATGGACAGGACAGCGTTTGTGGGAGTGGGAGGGAAAGATGGGGAGAGCAGAGGTGAGACACTCGGTAGGGAGAGATCCTCAGAAGACCGTGCCGGGCACGAAGGTGAAGGTGGAGGCCAAGAATGGAATTGAGAGATGTGTTTGATTAAGAACAAAAATATTTAATTACAGTGTAGGATCCCCTTTAGAGGACTGACGTACACTTTTCAGTGCTTAACAGTTTCTTCTCTGTCCAAATGCATATGTACGCATTTCTGGTGATTTTCTTTAATGGAGATAAATTTCATTTTTAGGAACTGCATATATTCATGGAATGAAGCATGCCACCGGAAATTACATAATTATTATGGATGCCGATCTCTCACACCATGTAAGTGGCGTATTTCTTTATTAGTAATTTATGATCGTCTTAGTCTATTATACTGACTTACTGTTTATTCTTTCTAAATTTCAGCCAAAATTTATTCCTGAATTCATTAGGTAGGTAATTCTAATATTTGAAAAAAATATATGATTCAAATAATTTATCTTATATTGATTTGGGGCTTATTTTCATTCTTTATTCTTAATTAAAAATGAACATGCTATTTTGTTTGCTATCAAAAATAAAACTTATGGACTTGACAGTCACGAGTATATAAGATGTGTGACTAAAGGATGTTTTAGAAGCCCTGAGGGCTGATCAACAGATAATTCCTTTTTTATCTAGATTATTCCAGATGACTTAAAAAGATAGAAAGTGACTTCCTGTTAAGTGGAATTAAGCCCTGCATCATAAGGGCAAAACCCCATGAAAAAATAAGGTTATTCCAGGAATTCCAGAGTGGTTCATCTGTAGGAATTCATGAACACAGTTTATCACATTAACAAAGAAAGCAGTGTGATTAAGTCTGTAGATGCCAAAAGGTATTTGATCAAATTCACTAGCCATTTCCAATAAAAAATTTAAAGTAGAAATAGAAGAAAGCATTGAAACATGATAAAGATAACCCAGTCTCAATACAAACATTTTACAAAATGGTGAAACTTGGAATCATTTCTAACAAATTCATCAAGATAGACATACCAGCTCCCATTATACAAGGCAATTTTAAGTAATGTTGTAAGACAAGAATTTAGTATAAATATTGATAAGGATACAAAATTATATTTATTTGCAGGTGGTATAATTATATTCTTAGGAAACCAGGAGACCACAAAACCTCTCACAATAAGAATTTGGGAGCTGATCTGAATATAAGCTGAATACACAAAAACACAGTCAAGTTATGTCACTACCCTGTTTAGAGTAGTTCAGGGAGTTCCCGTTAACACATGGCGAAAAAATCCACGCTGCTTTTTTTGTGCCCGAAACTGCTGTGTGACCTGGCCCCTGCCTCCCTCCCTGAACTTGCCTTGTGCTTCTCCCCTTGGCTCTCTGTTGCAGGCTTACTGCTTCCATTTCTGGCTCTCACAGGGCGCTCTGTTCCCTTCGCCTGCTCCTTAGTGGCCGACAATTTCTCATCTTTTGAGCCCTGCATAAAGTTACCTCAGAGATATCATCTCTTCTTATATTTCCAGTACACAAACCCTCTCTGACCTGATAAAGAAACAGAACCAGTGGAGTAGTAAATGGGAAAGATACAAACAGGCCCTGTGGAGGAGTAATCCAAATGGCTAACAAATCTAAAAGAAGATAGACACCCTGGGATGTAGTCAGAGCAATGCAAGTTAAAAATAATCATGTATTATTACTACCCATTAGTTTATCAAAATTAAAAACATCCAGTGCCCTGACCAGGTGGCTCAGTGGGTTGGAACATCGTCCCGTACACCAAAAGGTTGCGAGTTTGATTCCTGGTCAGGGCACATACCTAGGCTGAGACTTCCATCCCTAGTAAGGGTGCATATGGGAGGCAACCGATGGATGTTTCTCATATCGACATCTTTCTCCTGCGCCCCTCTAAAAATCAACAAACATATCCTCGGGGTGAGGAATTAAAACAACAACAACAAAGAAAACTTATCCAGCAGTACACCCAGCACCGATAAGATAGTAGAAAATGAGCACACTCAAATATTGCTGGAGGAAGTGAGTCGCTAAAACCTTTTTAGAAAGTGATTTCTGATGAGATCTGTTAGAATTCTTTTAGCAATTCCGTTGCGCTCCACTGTGGGTAGTCTGAGCACCAGGATATACATTTGTAAGAATGTTGCAGCACTATTCATTGTGGTTGTTTTCTTGGAAGTGAGGGGACCCACCGTGGAAACAACCATAGGAGAATATGGGTTCATATTCTGCAGAATATTTTTGCAGCTATTAAAAAGAATGGGGAAGTTCTGTTGTCCTGGAGGGATATCCATGCTTCCATGATATGTATTGTTTACTGACAAAAAGCAAGTTAAAAATGTACTTTTTTTGCATTCCAGTTTTGTAAAAGCGACCTAAAACCCCTAGAGGTGTGTTCATTTTTTAAGTTAATTTTCTGTGTAAACAAGTAGAAAGGTCTAGAAGGTTACCAGGCTGTTTTAGCATTGTTCACGTCTGGGGGCCAAGAACAGAATGCGTGGGGATTGGGAAAATTTAATTTTAGTGCTACATTTTAGAATGGTTTCCCATGGTGCCATCAGCAAACGTACTGTTTTAAATATTAATAAAGTAAAATAGAATCAGGTTTGAAAACCTTACTTTGAAAGATCTTTCAGTAGTATAGCTCATCTGTTTTCTTGACATTGTTATTTTCTAGATGCAGGTCTTAACAGTGCTGTTTTCATGGCTCTTGAAAATACTGAAAGCTCAATAGCTTTCTCTGATTAACAGCTAATTTATTTGTTCTACAGGAAGCAAAAGGAAGGTAATTTTGACATTGTCTCTGGAACTCGCTACAAAGGAAATGGCGGTGTTTATGGCTGGGATTTGAAAAGAAAATTAATCAGGTATATACATGTGCTATGATTCCTGTTTTTTAGTGTAACTACTATACTATAAATATGTTTATAAGTGGTATTTAGGTTAAATTACCATGCTGTCTTAGGATTTGTGAGATCAGAGTATAATATCCAATAAATATTTCCAGATAGCTTCTTACCTACAATGTTTTCTATGATTATGGTATTTTATTCTGGATATTTTTCACTAAGGAAAAAGCAGCATAAACCTTCAAACCTGTGGTAAAAATGGTATGCTTCAGCACAAATTTATTCTATTGCACCTTCAGCTTTGATTTTAAGTGAACTATATACATCTATATATTGGGACTATGTAGGTACTTTTTTCCATATATATTTTGTATTATTTAAAGTACATAAGACACTTTATGATTTCACCTTTTTCTAAGCAGCATAGAGTAGTGAGGCTTTGCAGACAGATTTGGGTTAAAATCCTGATTGTTTCATTTAATTATCTGTGTCACCTTGCATGTTTTACCTCTTCTAAGCTTTACTTTCCTTGTCATAAAATGGAAATAAAATCTGCTATTTCAGTTTTCTCTTGCCGTATAACAAACCACCCCAAAGCTTAGTGACTTGCATAAAACAACTACTTTTTGCTCCTGGCTCTTTGAAGTGGCTGGTGGTTATTCGGTTGGCTCCCGCGGAGCTCGTGCATGCAGCTTCCCTCAGCTGGAGTGTCAGCTGTGCTGGAAGGTCCAAGTCGTCCTCATTCATTCATTCGCGCAGTGGTTGGTGCCGGTGTCGGCTGGGCATCTCCGGTCTGCATTTGGCCCCTCACCTCCTGGAAAGCTAGTCCAGCTTCTTTACGTGGCGTCTTAAGGGCAGCGTGCAACTACCAAGGCCGCAGCCCCCGGCCTCTTGAGTCCTGGGTTCTGGGGCTAACGGCCTTAATTCTTGGTCAAAGCAAGCCCGGGGCCAAGGGGTGGAGAAGTAGAATGGAAGACCCGCAATGAATTTTTGGCCATTAGCATTTTTTATCACCCTCCATTCCTGGTGACGGTTCTGTTAATCTCAGTATGGCCTCTTCACTGTGAACCTTGGGCAAGTCATTTAAAACATCTAAGTGCCTCAATTTTCAGAGAAATGAAGGGGTTGGATAAAACAGTGTTTTTCAATCCTGCTGAACATTGGAATCATGTAGGGAGAAAATTATACACAACTGTTCCCAATTCATCCTCCCTTTCTGGTGCACACACACAGCACACACGATCTGAATGGCTCTCCAGAGGTGGGGCCAAAGCATCCATAGTTTCCACAGGCTTCCCAGGTGATTTCTATGCTGCAGACAAGGTTGAGATCAACAGCGAGCTCTCGGGCCTCTCTGCATTGGGTCATTACAGCTGTTTATTTAAAATCAGGGAGTTCCAATCAGAGAGTTTACAACTTTCAGCTGGGTCATTTAGTTGTATCTGTCATTAGTTAATGTCTGAGCTGACATAACATACAAACTCCTGAGAAGAATTATCACTTGCACAAGGTCTCATTTATATGGTCCAGAACCAGAATTTGAACCTGTCTGTCTGACTCTTTCTGAATTTAAGAAACCCCAGTTCAAAAATACATTAAATAGGACCTGGTTGGGGTGGCTCAGTGGATTGAGTGCTGGCCTGCGAACCAAAGGGTCGCTGGTTCAATTCCTAGTCAGGGCACATGCCTGGGTTGCAATTGAGGTCCCCAGTAGGGGGCGCACAAGAGGCGACCATACATTGATTTTTCGCTCTCTAAAAATAAAATCTTTAAAAATACATTAAATAGATGTACAAATACATACACATATATACGTATGCGCTCACATTCCTTTGATTACATGCATTTTAGGGGTTAAACTATGTCCTGGAATTCTTTCATTTATTTATTTGTTTGTTTATTTTTGGTAGTGCTTAGGAGCAGATGGAAGGGGGAAAAGTTTTTGTTAACCATTATCCCAGCTATATCCTTAACTATGTTGTTTATATAAAAATATTCCAAGAGGGCCTTGGTGGTTATCTTGGCTTTGGAAACTTTTTCCCCAGACCGCCCTAGAGAACTTTTTCTGAATCTGAGCCCAATAAAATAGCTGCCATACAAAAGTCACTTTTCCAAGAGTACTTTACATCTTTTTGAAATGTTGGTAATAGCTATTAGCGGTAGCTTGTAATTGATTGGTACTTAGTTGTGTTTGAAGCACAAGCCCTAAATTCATTGTTATGGACTCTTTGTGTCTGCTAAAAATTCATGTTAGAGCACCTTAGCCTAAAAGTGTTGGCATTTGGAAGTGGGGCCTCGGGGGTAATTCGGTGTAGATGAGGCCCTGAGCGTGGGGGCACTCATGGTGGCATTAGTGTCCCTTGCGGAAGGGATGAGAGCTGCAGTCTGCTCTGCGCCCCCCACCCCTTCCCCTGGCTAGCGCACAGCACGAATTAGGCCATCAGTAAGCACGGAAGAGAATTTTCAGTTTCTTGGACTTCCTAGCCCCAAGTAACGTGAAAAATAAGCCACCTAGTCTGGTATTTTGTTTTAGCAGCCCATGCAGACTAAGACAGGTCTCTCTTCACTGACTAAAGATTTCCTTGTTATGTAGAATTAATATTTTTGTAAACTAGTGTTGCATTTATTTATGAAATCAGTGTAGCATTTTTAGTACTTTGCTCTTGGATGTGTTTCTTTTGCTTAGAAACTATTTTATAAAGAAAATCTAATTGTTTTATTTGACAGCCGCGGGGCCAATTTTATAACTCAGATTTTGCTGAGACCAGGAGCATCTGATTTAACAGGAAGTTTCAGGTACAGTGAAAACCTGTAATTTTATATTTCTACTATTTATAACTGCTTGCCTAAATTTCTTGCTTTACAATGGCTTATTTTAAAGAAATGCTTTTCATTTCTACCCTGTTTTTGTCCTGGAACACCAAAAAGGCTGAAGTTCCTTAGAAGTTGCTAATGAAGCCTAAGCATCTTAAGAAAAATATTGTGCTTGCTTTCAGAGAGGATCGAAGGCAGGGCTCCGGTTAGTGGGCTTGTTCACATTTGTATTAATGCTCATCCCCTAAGGGGCCCAAGGTGACCACTCACTGCTCGGCTGAACATTTTTCTCGCTGGCACTGTGCTCCAAAGACCACCACCTCTTCCAGGAACTTTCTGCAGTTTATATGAATATTTGAAGCATTGATCACAGAAAAGTTTAAAATCTTTAATATTTATGTAGAGTTTTTTGGATTACCTTGTTCTCCATATGTTTTTTTATTTAAAAAATTCTTATTTAATTGGTGCAAAGCCTCCTGCTAGGTCCCTGGGGTTTTGTATTTTTCTTTATTCTTGGGGGTGCTGGGTGCTACAGGGGGCGTGTGTGTGTTTAATTTTAGACTTGCTACAAGAGATGCACTGTTTTTATATGACCATGACAAATGATTAAAGCCTGCCAGATTTTTTTTTAATCTCTGAAACTATAAGATGCCTGTTCATTTTCTTTAAGGTCCAAGCCCCACGCATTAGTTAATAATTTATATTACTTGATATTTACTTTTCCCATTAAATAATATTGATTTTCGAACCTTCGTTACAATTCCCACATACAAATTGGGAGCTGGCTGTTGAAGGTAACTAGTACTTGCAGTACAACTGCAAGTCTCAAATATCAGTTCAGAGATGGTTAGACTGAGAAGGTCAAAAGTGAAGAGAAACATTTTTTGTGTCCTTATTTGGTAAAATAAAAGTAGATACGAGTCAAAAGCAAGTACCCCTTTCCTCCTCCCACCAAAAAAAGCGAAGAGAGGCGCCATCACAAATTAGGGGTCAAATAATGAAAATGAAGTCTCTCTAGAATTAAAATGTAAATTGGTTAGAAAGCATAATTTGGTTTATAAAAGACAGATGGGGCCCGTAAATGTATCCTTTTTGTTCCACACTTCAAGGCCAGAGAATAATGTGTTATCTGATTGAGATCACTGATTGCTGTGTAGCAACAATGCAGAGTAGTGGCACTTGGCAAAACCTCTGCGCAGACAGAGCAGCCCATGTGGACTTCACAAGCCGTAGGTATGACGACTTTGGATGGAGACCCAGGGTGGCTCCATGGGTTGTGGCGATAGGGACTTTGTGTTTTGGCCTAGTTACCCTCTTGGGAGCTCGGCAGGTGCTTTCAAAGAAGCTAAAAGGTGATTCGTTTTAGAGTCAGCCAGTATTTATTGCATGCCAAGCATTGGACAAGAGTCAAAGTCCTTGTCCTCATGGAGTTTACACGTCCTGATGACGTGAGACGTACAACTCCATAAAATAGGTGCAGCATCACGTGGGGACTGTGCTGTTTAGAAGAACACAGCAGAGAGAGTAACGGGTAGTGGTGCCTCACCACCAGCAGATCCATGCTGGGGTCAGGCGGGGGTGAGGGTGGAGGGTGGCCTGGAGCCCTGGGGGGCGTGAGAGGGCAGTGATTGGGTGTGTTCTCTGCAGGTATCAGAGCAGACACACGCGCGCAAGTGAGCCCATCAATTTCACTACTTTTAAATAGTTCATTGTCTCTTCCTAAGAGTAGTGATTTGTTAAATACATGGCTGTATTAAAGTTCAACTTCTCATTAAAATTCATTAATTGTCATTAGATTCCTAGTGTTTAGGAGACATGTGCATTTTACAAAATAAACGGGAACTCAAAAAGACTGCAGCTCCAGGTGAACCCCACCCCCCTTGGGCATTGCAAATCTAGGTGGCCTTTAACTGGGAAGAGAACATACGCCAAACTGCCTCTCCTAGCCTGCTCCAAAGGACCAAGAGAAATTGGCACCTTCCTTCCCACAGAGACTGGTTGTTTTTTTTTTTTTTTTTGCGGGGGTGGGGGTGTGGATTGATTGATTGTTCACCTCAGTGACTGCAAACAGGGAGCTCTTCAAGAAAACGATTGGTTTCTATCACTGGACTTGCCAGCTCCTGTCTTACTTGGTAAATCTTATGAACTTTGTGTTTGGCCTACAGTCTGTCTGAAATTAGACTGCACATTCATTCGCCCGTTAAACGTATCTAACTGTGACATCAGTTGGTGATAGCTGTGTCCCGCCAGGATTGCCTGAATCTTGTGATGCCTAGTTTCCTGTCTTAACCTAGCTTACCCAGGCTTATCCTGGGGGTGGGCTAGTGTGTCCTAGGGAATTTATTTAGTGGATCTGCAGAAAAAGATGCTTGACATACACATTTATAAAGAAATGCTTGTTAAGTACTAGGTTCTTCTTGTAATCTAGCTTATATTCTTGCTTCATTGTCTGTCAGCTCAATTGTTCCAATATTTGGAACAATTTCTACTCTTTCAACTTTAAAAATTTTAAGAAAATTTAAAAAGTAAAAATAGGTGGTTCTGCTTTGAATGATTCATATTACTATATTTTTATAATTTCTCATAGTATGGTAGGAAAATAATTCTGTAAAAAATACTAAGAATTCATTTCCTAAATTACTTAAAAAATATTTCATGGCCTTTCTGGTTCAGGACAAATATATCATAATACCAACTGTGAGAACTTTTCTATATACAAATGGCCAGTGAAAGTTTTAGGTTTTAGAAAGGCCAGTGAACTTTTTGAAAGGTCAGGATACATGCAGGCACATATATTTATCTGGGTGTTCATATATTTTTAATTTTATACAGGTTATACCGAAAAGAAGTTCTACAGAAATTAATAGAAAAATGTGTATCTAAAGGCTATGTCTTCCAGATGGAAATGATTGTTCGGGCAAGGCAGTTGAATTATACTATTGGCGAGGTATGCAACTGATGGTAAATAGCATGTATATTCCTCATAAAGAAAACAAGGTTTAGACTTTTTATGATAAAAAGTTTAATTTTGATAACTACCAGATAAATGTGAAAGGCTTCCAGCTTTTTAGAATGCCCATGCATTAACATGTGAAAATTCACATCCCTTTCACATTAATATATTTGACCTACGAAGATTTAAAACATTAGCCCTGGCTGATGTGGTTCAGTGGATTGAATGCCGGCCTGGGAACCAAAGGGTGGATGGTTGATTCTCAGTCAGGGCACATGCCTGGGTTGCAGGCCAGGTCCCCAGTAGGGGGCGCACGAGAGAGGCATCCACATTGCTGTTTCCCTCTCTTTCTCCCCCCCCCCCCCCCCCCGCCCCTCTCTAAAAAAAATAAATACACTCTTTAAAAAAAATTTAACTGAAGGCAGCATTCCCTTTTAAATACTTAAAAGTTACTGGTACCTTCTCCATCCTTGTCCTTTGTTCTGACCACTGAGCATTCTGGGATTTGCTGCTTTCCCTCTTGCTGTAGCCCACAGCCACCTAACTTTGAAATGAGTGGTGAGTCCCATTGCCCATATCATGAGTAGATGAAAAGCCAGGAATTGGTGGGGGGAGGTCTGTAACATTTACAGCGAGCTAGTAACACTCAGGGAAGACTCTCCTTAATGTTAAGACTTACTCATAGCAAGAAATAGCTAAATTTTGACAGACTAATGAAAAAAATTAAGTGAAAGGCCTTTTTACTTTCAGAGTATAATTTTTCCTTGAAATGCAGTCTAAATCTTGAGTAAACCAACTTAATATGCAGGATCAGTGCTTTTCAAACAGTTGTCAATTTGTTTATACATATAGCCTACTTTTAGAAAATAAAGTACTTGTTTAATTGTAAAGACTTGGAGGTACACACAGTTGCTGTAAGAACTGAAGGAATTGCTTAAATTTAAAGGAATTGCTGTCATAGAACTAATCTTGTTTCTGTGGTATTAGTAATTTTTGTATGCCTGCTACTCTTCCTTTTTAATATTTTTGAAGACTGACTTAACGTGTATTTTTTTTAACTATTAATAGGTACCAATATCATTTGTGGATCGTGTTTACGGTGAATCCAAGTTGGGAGGAAATGAAATAGTCTCTTTCTTGAAAGGATTATTGACTCTTTTTGCTACTACGTAAAAGAAAGTTATTCATTTATATTTATCATGTTCATTTCAAGTTAAACGTAAAGGAAGCCTCATTGCTGATTTTTATGAAATGTACTCTTAGAGCATAAATCATAGGTAAGGTAAATTTCATGCAAATCTTTTTTTCTGAAGGAATTCCATTTTATATGTCAAATTAAATGAGAAAAATGAGCAGTGTTCTCAATTTTCTTTAACATTTTGCTGTATTAAGTAAGACCTATAAATAAATGCATATGGGGTTTTACATAAAATATTGCTGCTTTTTCATTAGAGTATTTGAATGCAGAATTTCTTACATGGGGAAAACTTTGAAATATTCTCTATAAAAACTGAATTTATAGCTCTTTGTACCTAATAGATGTCAGAAGAGGAATGCTAAATGTAATCATGAAATATATATGACTTTCTACATGAAATGAAAAAGATATACACACCTTTGCCCTTTCTTTAAAAATGTATATCATATTTCTTAAATCAGATAAAACAATACCTTTAGAGCACAATTTTAGAGTTTGGTTCTCTGTACCTCTTGAAATGATGAAGCAATTCATCCATCAAAGCAAGTCTACTTAAAATACATACTTCAGTTGGAAACAGCCTGACAGCAGTGGGTAGCAGAGCTACGTTTTCCTCCTCTAAGCAATACCTTCTATCAGTAAAGAAAAGTACTGATATGAAAGCAAACTTTACTGTTACAGAAATTTTTAAACATCTTACAAACTGTATAACGATTTTTTTCTCAAAATATTTCTTTTCATATTATTTCAGGATTCTCAACAAAGCATACATCTTTACTAATAAAATAAAAATTCCTTTCCTATAGCTTTTCTCTCTGTTCAGAAAAGTGTTCTTGATAGTTAAAATGCAGGGTAAGTTCAGTAAAGCCAGTGCAAACATTGTTTACTTTTGTTAAAGTAGGTATTTCCAAAAAAGATCAATTTCTAACTGTAGCAAAGCTTTTGGATCATGCACTATCTTTAAAAATTTAGGGTGAGACATATTGTGAACATATAAGCTTAAGATCAAGTTAACTTCACAAGTAAAAGGAAGAGGTGTCTCTTAAGTTATTTAATAAACATTCAGCGAACAGTATTCCTGATTATTACATTTTCCTGGCTTAATTTGGTTGCTAAAGTCAAGAAAACTTCAAGTCTGATTTTTCCATTTCTTATTCTAACAGACCCTACCAGAAATGAATACCACAGTATTAAACCTTTGATGGCATTTTGAACATTGCCTCTTCCCATAGTTGAGTCCATAGGACACATTACAAAAAGGGCCTGGACTATTGTATTTCCCTTTTACACAGAGCTGTACGGTAGCCCACCAGGGACCCACCTTCCTCAGGGAAGTGACTTCTCTCATCATAACTATAAAATTCATCACTGTTGGATGTAAAATTAGTTTTAAGCTAACATAATAGAAATGAAATACCTTTTCTAAAAAGTGATCAGAATCTGTTCTTTTTCACATAAACATGAAATTCAGTTTCCATTGCCAAGTGTGTGGAGCAGAGAAGTACCTTCCTCAGAGAACCCGCTAGTATTCTCAGACCTCGACCGAAGCAGATACCTTTTGCCTTTTTAATCTTTTTGGTTTTTATTGCCACAGTCATTACAACACTGCAACTAGTGGGGTTTACAGTAAAAGTATTTAAGCAGTGAAGACTTTCACCATTTGGAAGTTATTTAGAAAAGAATCCAGACTATTTAGATGCATTTTTGTAGTAAATGCAGTGACTTAAACACTAAAATCATTTACATGTGAATCCAGCATCCCTTTTTACTTTGTAAATGAGGCCAAGAATGAAATCCAGATGTTCTCCCTTTGTATTATCACTGTATGAAATCTAAGTATATCTAAGGAAAGCCACACAGAAGATAAAATTATTTTATTTACTTCATATTAGCTTTTGCCTGTCTTCTGCAACATGTAATTGAGTCATCTTTGTCTCTCTAAACCAGTGATTTTCAACCTTTTTCATCTCGTGGTACACGTAAACTAATTACTGAATTTCTGTGGCACACCAGAAAAATATATTTTTTGCCACTCCGAAAAAATAAAAAGTATAATTTTGATTCATTTACTCTGGGCTAGTGCTGCTGTATTAGCTGTTGTCATTCTTTTATTTGACAATCTAAGGGGAAAGAGTGCCCCTGACTAAATAGTCAGGTATTGCATATTTTTAAAATTCTTGCACCACACTGGTTGAAAATTGCTGGTCTAAACCAGATGCATTGCTCCCTCCCCCCACTTTGTGTGTGTGTGTGTGTTACAACTTTTTCCAGCTATTGTTTTCCTTTGAAATGCTGATTTGGTTTTTAAGGGTGTATTTTATCACAATTTCAGAAATTAATGGAATATTGTGTTGGATGAAACACCTTGTTAAATCTAACTGAAGGTTACATTGAGCAACATGTAACCACAATTTGTACTATTTTCAAAAGGTAAGATTCTTTTGGGGTGTTAAGTATAGTTTGAAACTGTTAGAGTAACAGCAAAAGATAGTATATTTACACAACGGAAGAGAACAGGCTTGGTTAATGCTTCACAATTGGCGTGTACCACTTTTCAGTATGTGCAGCCACGGTATACTCTCCGATGCATTTTGCTATTAAAGGTGGGTTTTAAAATGTTGAGATGTGTTGGTTGGGGTTGACCTAATTTTACAAAGTCTTAGACAATCAGATTGTGGGAGCACTGAAAGTGTCGCTGGAACTACAACTGAGGTGTAGTTTTTAGGGACCTTGAGGTCCGTTGGCAACATCATTTCTCATCCCTAGGCTTCACCAATCCAGTGGCTTCAAAACCCTAGGGATCCCATTTGCTTTCTCCAGGCCAAAGAGAAGAGGCCATCACTGCCTTGGAAGAATGTCAAGGCCAGGGGCAACAACCTGCCTTCTGTAAACACTGCCCCTGCCCACTGAATAGCCAGCCCCATTAGGAAGGCATCATCCTTGGGGTTGTGTCTCAAGTCGGTGTGTGAAGCACGAGGCCCTCACACCTCACTTAAGGCTGAAGGCGTCAGGCAAGAGCAGCCAGGTATCCCTGCCCTTCCGGCTGCTGCCCAGCCAGTGAGAGCGCGGGCCTCTCAGCACGTGGAGCCGCGGGGCTGCCCACACGCCCCCTCCCGCCAGATGTAGTCCAGGCCCAGCTGGGCCCGCGCAGGGATCCCCAGCACAGCCACCTGAGTGCAGGGGGTGCTGCGGCCCTATGCATGTGCCTCCGCCGCCGGCGTTGCGGCCAGTGGAAGGCGCCCGCCGAGCACACGGGCCCTGGAAGCGCACTGCGGCCATTATTCGCGGCGCCTCCTAGTGGGTCAGTGGCAAATCCTGGTTCTCGCGAGAGCTCCCCCTCAGTGGGGATTATATAATTTCCCTTAGGCGGGGTCGGGGATGCTAGTACTACTCTCCCTTACAAAAAGTTAGGTGCAGGCACAAGTGGGAGTAACAGAGTTATCCCTGGGGGACATATGGGGAAGGGGTATTGTGCCCCCCCTCCACTTAGCTGGACAATGAGTCCTCTTATGCTAATGAGCACTTACGTCACTTCCGCTCTTTCTCAGCCGCCATTTTGGCTAGGGCAGGTTCAGGGACTCGCTCTGAGGCGCTTGTATTGTCTGCTGAGGGGAGACGCGGGATCAGCCCCCTCCCCCGCCCGTTGCCGCCGCAGCCTCCGCCGGCCCGGTCTCCCCTCCGCCGCCCGCCGAGATCCATGAGCTGAACTCCCGCCCCCCCTGGCCGCCGCCATCTTGTGCCCCCTCCCCCTCCCGCGGGCAGCGCTAAGGGGGATTTTGGCGTCTCAGGCACAGCTCCCTCTCTCGGTCCCCGCAGCTGAAGAGCGAGAGGAGCGCGGCCGCCGCCGCCCGCCTGCCCGCGCCGGTGAAGCGGCCTCTCCCACACCCTCCATCTCCTCCCTCCGCCCCTCCTTTGTCTGCACCGCTCGACGACGCTGCCGCCGCCGCCTGCGCGGGGACTGGAGGGAGCCGCTCGCGCCGCCGCCGCCGCCCGCCGCTCTGTTGCGCCCGCCGCGCCCCCCGGCAGCAGCCGCGGCCGCGGCGCGAGCCGGAGCCCGCCGAGGCCACCGAGCCCGAGCGCGACGAGGCCCCGGGCGCGCCCTCGCCGCCGCCACCGCCGTGCCGCCGCCATCCGTCCGCCGCTGCTACCGCCCGGCCCCCGAGCACGCCGGCCCCGCGCTCGCCTCGAGGCCGAGTCAAGGTAAGCCGCGCGCGGCCCCGCGGCCCGGCCCTGTTCCCGACCCTCGGTCCGCGCGGCTCCCGCCGAGCCGACCCCACGGGTGCATTGTTGTTTAAATTGCCAGCCCTCCAACCATACACGCTCCTTTGCATACTCTGGGTCTGACGGACCGCCCGACCCTCTCGGACCGCTCCCCGGCTCTGCTCCGGGGACTAGGCGCCTCCTCCTGCAGCCCGACCGCCGTTCCTCCTCGTGAGCCCGCGGAGGCCAGCAGCCAGCCTGGCCTCGGAGCTTTAGCCGCTAATGGCATCTCCCTCCACCCCGCCCCCAGCAAGAACCTAGCTTCTCCCATCCCTGGAACTCATCCCTTCCTCCCGCCCCCCACTCCCACCGAGCCCCCACCCACACCCCGAAAGCCTGGGACGAGCGTTCTGCAAGGTCTGCCCACCCTTAGTTAGGGGAAGGGGGACAGATTGGGGGGCGGGGAGCATGCATGGCACGGAGTGAAAGTCTACCGCTCCTGTGCAATCCTTCCTCCCCAACATGCTACCTCCTCTCCTATCCTGACCACGGAGTACACCGCCACCCTCTTTACTCAGTCGCAGTGCCTGGTTAGCACGACCTCTTAGGAGCATTCTGAGCCCCAACTTTGCAATAAGATGGTAGAAAATGGAAATCCAGAAAGCTGCAAAAAGATTTTTTTTTAATGCAATGAATGGGAGTAGTTCTTTGAGTACCCTTTTATTCACCTCTTCTTTCCTCTGCTCTGGGCTGCCTGCCTGCCTGCCTTCCCCCCCCCCCCCAACCTGGATGCCTGTCTGCTGGAAAAGGCGCGATTGCTTCTCTTCCTCTTCTGCCCAAGATCAGGCGTTAATATCTAATACTCTTGTAGCCACACACACCCACATTAAGTGTTCTTGATGTTCTTTCATTCACCAATTCCTCTGGACAGTTCTTGCCATAACCCCATTTCTCAGACAAAGGCTTAGGAGGGAAAAAGAACCAAACTGTTTCTTGTGTTTGCCATTTTAATGCTGTCCATCCCACACACCCAATTCCTATTCCTGATGCTTCTCGTGCAAGTGTCTTGAACCTTCAAAAAGAAAAAAGAAAAGAATCTCCTGGAGACCTTGATACAGTTTCTTTATAAATCTGCATTGTTGCTTCTGGTTTATGGCCATGAAGAAAATACCAGCCCCCACCCAAAATGCACCGCAGCCAAGTCGGCTAAAGGCAATGAGCGTTGGAGTCAGTAGGGGGCGCATTTCCTGCACTGGGTAAGGCTGCAGAGGGGGGGAAGGGCCCCAGAGCTAGAACAGGATGTGCTTCACAGCGCCTTCTACAGACCATGGGAAAATGGGCCCAGCAAGACACACTGCACTCTTAGTTGGTGAGCTGACAGCAACATGGCGAAGGACTGAGTCAAGAGCAGTGATTTTCTATCTTTTAAAGAATCCACCCTGCATTTTAGAAGTTCTGTCTTTTTACTTTTCTAAAGTGTTGACCCACAAACAGTCTACTTTTGTTCTTGATGAATCACCTTGACACATCCTTGGTACACAGATTTCCCCTTCTCTGGAATTCTGGAATTCTTCCACCTTAAACTTTGCATGTGTCACCATGTCTTTCCAAGGTCAGATGGTAAAGGGAAAAGCTTCAAACCTAAGAGTAACTGGTTTGGTGTATCGCTGATTACCTCCCTTCTTCATGGCCCAAATCTTTCCAACTCTTTGAGAGTTAATCATTCTGGAGGGCTAGTAGACGTTAGTGGGGTAGTGATTTTCATAAGCATGTAGTTGGGTGACATGATTTGCAAAGCCTTGTTGGTAAACATCAAGCCCATGTTGAGTTCTTCATTGTCAAACTCAACAGTTGATTGTGTTTAATTTTCTTTCCATCTTCAAAATTGTAATTGCCATTCATTACCTTAGCAGCCAACCACCTTTGCAAAAGTGTTGATACCATTCTTCTGTGAACACCCATTTTCTTAGGGTGTGTTGATTTCTATAGATTTTACTCCTCTTGTTATTTCCTAGGTGTGAGATGCACAATGCGAAACCTAGGCCCCAGCTTTCGCACCATGATGCACAGGGTTGTACTTTTTGTACTGAACTGATAGGTGGCCTAGTGGTTATGCCCTGTACTACCATTTTGAGGATCTGGACTCCGTTCCTGCTTTGCTCTTTGGACCACATTATCAATTCACACCGGTGGGTATATTCATTTTGGTGGGTGGGAACTGCAGCAACAGGGAAGCCAGAGACTTTTTCTCCTAGGTCTCCACCAAAGCCAACACTTCCAAAATTTCAGCCTAGCCACATTCCTCAAGGAACCAGTTAGAGCTGGTTGTAGTCGTGGGTTCTGAACAGAGAAATGACTTGTGACTTAAAAACTTCAAGTTGCTCATATTTAATTATTTACATTCTGCATTCTGCACTTGTGTACATAAAGTATGTTAAGTTCTCAATTATGCTATTTTGGTGGCCCAATCTCAAGTGTAAGCTTCTAAAAACCTTAAAGATTCTCTGATCAGAACAGGCTTTTTCATGAACATGCACTTGGTACCAAAGATTGACAGTGGTTGATGCTCAAGGGTACTTTCCAGACTTTGTTACAGGTATTTTACATAGATACACCAAGGTACGTTTACGGGAGAAATGAATGGATGTATTCTTT